AAAAAAAACATACTTCATATAATTATCTTGCTTTTGCGACTCATCCAAAGCACGAAGGAAGGCGATAACCTTGAAAATAAGACTTTGAAGGAACATTGGCGTGCAAGTTTATACCTGTATGGTTTTTCCGAGACCCATTTCATCAGCTAATATACCTCCAACGTACTGCTCATGCAAACCGCATAGCCATACTACACCTTTTTTCTGGTATCTGTGAAAAACCAGGTATTCACGCAACTGACTCGGAAGTAGCTACTCAAACTCACTTATATAAACGATCCCAAACTTGTCTATGGAGTTTGATAGTGTCAGTCAGCTCTTTGAAATCAGATTCTTCATTGCCCTCGGTTGCAACGGTATTACTATAAATTAGCAGATATTTCACTAAACAATGTGGTAACTCCGTTACCTCAATCGCTCCTCGAAATCCTTGTCGTTACTGTCATCAACACATAGTTTCAGTAACTTCTTAGGTTTCGGAAGTCGACGGCGCTTCGCTTTGGGAGCATCGTTGCTTTCTTCAGTGCTAGAATAGCAAAAACGTGCAGTTGCGGCTCTCAAATTCAATACGATAAAAACTTCAAGTACCTTTCTTCAACTTCTTCAACTCCCGATGAGCTTGCTTCACTGATAGTATCACCTTCACCAGGGATATAGTCTTCATCACTAGCTCTGCTACAGAGACCGGACTGGTCCGCTGAATAGTTATATTAAGGATTTGTCATAGAGGCTTCCATAAAAGCTACAAAATACCAGAGGTTGATGGACTCGGAGTAAAACGGCTATTGTCAGAAGTTTCCGGGCCTCTGAACAGATCGAAGCCTGACGCATCCGCACCTTCCCCAAGAATGTCTTCGATAACCTTGACAAAGCAAAATTAGAAAGATTCCGAGCAATCCAAGAGCTGACATACATTTTTTTCAAGCTCAGCTAGATCATGTGTAGATACGCCAGCAATAGCAAGTTCATCATCCTTTGAAGAAGACTCGTTCGAATTAGCCTCTGCAAAAATATTACCGTTGAAACCAAACCAATTGTCCAGATTCATTCAAAATTTTCAGTTCTTTCCAGCGTTAAGGATATAAATTTTGTCTTCCATTCAGAAAAGGAGTAGAACGCGTGAATTTGTGCAATGATTACACTGTTATAAAAAAGCTTGTTTATGACTTGGCTTAATTTAATATATAAAATATAGACTTTAAAATAAACTGTAAGAAGCCATCACCACAGACTACTACATTATGTTTCAAAGAAAAACCTGCACCTGCTGCTTTGTCAGCATCTCCCGGGTCCTGATCATTACTTTCCTGATCCATAACTAAAATCAGTATGGATGGAAATGATCCACAAAGCTTCTAATGACGAAGGCATGGTAAATGGCACAACCATAATGGCGATGTCAACGCAAGTAAGAACTGATTTTTATACACGAATATGTTACAATACAAGCAACAAAAAAGTAGTAAGAGTACAAAATCCATTCAACAGATAAAACCTGATTAGGAATGAGAAACTATAAGGCTAATTAGAGTAACCACACAGGGGTGAGTGCATCAGTACAGATAGGCAGGCACAGATCATGACTCCATCAATGGCATTTTGAAGATTGGGCAAGACTAAATACTTGACACATTGAGCAATTCGAGATTACAGCTATACATACATATAGTAAGCATCTTCAATTTGTCTTTTTGGATATACTCTCTCGGATTTCTTTGTTGAGCTCCTCATGTTTAGCCGTCATCAGATTGCGACAGTGATTGCTAAGGTCATCAACGCTTTCGAAGCCTGATGGATCCACAGGAGGTAAGATTTCAGCGATGCACTCTCCAGGGTCTAGCCTTTGCTCAGCCTAAGGTAGGTATACCATTTGCAATATAAGGACCAAAATACGTATTAGAGGTACTTTTCAAAAAACGTGGTACTGGGATAAGCTTTGCATTAGACTTCCCATGAACTATTTTTTT